CTATTGAAAACTCTTTTCCTTGTTTGCTCCGTACATTCACATTATGTTACAATAAGCAATTGTACTAGTTTGAGTGCACATCAACACAATCTAAATATCCAAGTTTAAGGTGAAAAATATTTGCTTGCGTAAGCCATTAGAAATGAGGTGAAAGGCCTCACAAACCTAAAATTTATTTATTTGGATGAAAACGCTCCTCCCCCAACCTAATAAATAAATATCATGAAATAGATAATTTGTGAAAAAAACACAATTTAAAAACTACAAGGATAAAACAAGAAAGCCATGGGGGTAGAGGCTTACATAGATCCTTCTATCATGTCCTGCTATAAGCAACCGTGACCCATCAGAGGTAAAAACCATAGAATGTGCAGATGGAAGCTTCTGAGGAAGTTGCCTTTTACTGACAGTCCATGTACTTTGGCCAGATTGCCTACTTAGTGTAAATAGGCTGGGTCTAATGAGGTCAGAATAACCGAAAAGCTCCCCTGAGTTGGACATTGCACTGCAAATGATTTTTCGACAAGCCTTACTCTTAACTCGAGCTACTATATTAGTGGTCACGGGACCACCATAGGAGCTAGAACCCATCAGGAACTTGAATACAGAGCACATCTAACCAATGAGAAGCCTGAACCAGGAGAAAAGAAGCTCGGTTGAACCTTGTGCTAGTGACTAGTTGTATTGGAACTCTTTGAGGTGCAGGGCAAATATCATGTGGAGAGAACCTAGTAAACTCTTTAGCAGAGTATGCAAATAGCTTTGCATCGTCACCAGCAGAGACGAGCATGGGAACTCCAAAATGAGCCCATTTATCATAACTGAAATCAAGGGGCTTCTTCTCCCTAGATCGAATTCTTTTTACTTTTTTCCTCTTGTTGTCTAGCAAGTCTTTTGCTTCATCAGGTAAATAACCTAGAAATTAGAAGGAAAAAAAAGAAAGTTAAAAATTAACAAGTACACAATTTATTTAACTAAGAACAGTAAAAATGCAAGTTCAAAATTAATGGAATAAATAAAACAATAAATAGACATGGAATCAAAAACATGAACAGACCTTCAGAACTGATAGGCATCGCCATTGTCAAGGCTCTAACATCGTGAGTATGAGCCCTTACAGAACCCACAAATACCCATTTCTTCAACATTTCAAAAGAAGATTTGTCTTTATCAGACTGAACCATCTCACTGGAAAGCTTATAAAGAGTAACCTATAAAATGTAACAACGCAGTAGACTTTAGTGACAAGGACCAAGATTAAACTAAATACTTGATGCAGCAAAATTCTAAAAAAAACATTATAGTTGAAAAAGAGAAAACTATACACCTATTAAGTTTTGTCCTTGTTTAAATATTTTAGCCTTAGAAGAAAGCATGAATAGAGCACTCCTACCCCTTTCCATCCATACCTGTCCATCAGACCCAGCAGAAAATACCCTGTTCTGACTTGGAGTTGCTGCCAAAGCATTCACGTCACCTTTGTGGATAGAATGCGCCTGGAGAAGAGTCCCATTATCCCCATTCCAGAACTGAACAGATCCAGTGCTGTCAGCACTAACAACAGTTCCGCACCTGAATTAAACAATAAACCAACCACCAAAAGGAAGCACATCAACCATTGATAATAGAATAGCCATTGACATTTCACCATATAATGCAACTAAGTGCACATTCAGTTGAGATGGAAGATCCGAAATGTACCTCAAAGAAAGTAATGACCATATGCAAAGCTCAGGCCCACTGCCCAAACCTCCAAGAGCAACTACACTTCTGAAAATTTCATGACCCAAATCAGCATTCCAGCATCTAATAAACCTGCATGAAGGTTAGTGTGGCTGTTACTAAAGTAGACAAGATTAAATGGGAAAAAAAATAAGAGCAAATGCTATGTAAAGCATGCACCGTCAAGGATGGAAAGACCATATCTATCTCACAGATTTTGCAAAGATCCACTCTGAATGGAGAGGTTTTTCTCTATCCACCACCACCCCCAAAAAAAAATGGTCGAAGGCATGGAGTGCAGAGCTTTGCTAAATGCTTTCTCTGCTCCTCGCTACCTTTTAAAATTAATATTTTACCCCTTAAAATTATCTATGCATGCGTTTCATACATTTATAATATGTTAGACGTATATACATACTAAAATAAAATATATATAAACACAAGTATTATATATACTAATGAACTATATATAAAATAATAGTTCATGAATAAACTACTGTAATTAATATATATTTACTTCAAACAACTAATAGTTCATAAACAAGCTAATGCAGTGGAGCGGTTATGAATGTAACCAATATCTACGGAGATAGATAATTTTAACATCCATTAAAGATAGGGGCAGAAGTGGAAGAGGCAATCCCCACCTCTGCCTTGCTCCAATTCCATTCCTTCGTAGAAGTTCAGTGAAATTGAAATTAATAGTATAATATCAATAAAAAAAAGTACTTAATAAACAAGCAATATATGGACCAACATATTTATTGCTGTAAAAATATCATGTATCATATCATATTCACTAGATGACAAACTTACCCATCGCTACTCCCTGAATATATCCTATTTGAGTCATGACTCCAGGTCACACTTAGAGCACGTCCTGCAAATAGTATTAGCACCATTAAGCTCCAAGAAAAACTAAAAGCAATGACCTAGGAAGAATAGCAGCTCAGATGTAGAAATCTCACCACTAACCCGGGACAACGATTTAAGGTAGATAAACTTATCCGAATCAGAAACACTGTATATCCTCACAGCTCCATCATCACAAGCAATTGCTACACGTCTATCTTCCGTAACTAGTTTATGATGAACTTGTTCCGAGTCGGAAACATCTTCAATTTCACAGTTTCCATCATCATCAGTATCGTTGCATTCATATTTATCGTTCAAAAAACCATTTCCAAAATTGTGAGATCTAGTCTCTTCATGAGTTGGCAGTTTATTAATCGGTGCCACAGCCATCTGCCAGATTGACACCCCTATTGACTCTAGCACAGTCTGCATAAGGGTTTAATCAAATAAATAAATAATGAATACAAGATAACTTCTACCAATAGCTTCTTGCAAATTAGATGGTCAATTCGAAAGAAAGAAATACATTCAAAGGGAGTCTACAAATAAAATATGTGCAACCATATATCACTCTCCTCGTATCAAAGCAATATTTCAAAACTTAATCGACATAAACAATTAAACCTACACTAAGGCAACTGGAAGAAAATGAGAAAAGCGACCTCGGAACTCAAGTACTATCTTCATTATTCAATAAATCATAAGAAAGCAATCAAAAGTATCCACTGAAGTTAGAGAGGATTAGAGCCCAGTTGGGTTCAACAAATAGATTAATAAAGCAGATAATAGAAAAAATGGCAAAAGCGACCAAAATCAATGAAAAAAAATAACCTTCTGCTTCAAGTCAAAAGGATCCCATTCCGAGACTGAGCCATCAATACTCGAGGAGAACAACCTGCCGGAAGACAGACCTTTTGATCCAACTCGACACCACAGCAGCGACGAAACTCGACAGGTAGAATCTCCATGAATAGTCTACACAAAGTCGCCGATAAATCAAAACTGAACTTAAACTAAAAGGATAATGAGATGGAAGCAGAAAAGGTGAGGGTACCAGCTGATGATGCCAGCCAACGGAGCCGGGAGAGACAAGCCAAATCTCCAGGGATCCATCCTCACGAGCGGCTGCAACATGGGAGTCGTCGGGGCTGGTAGCAAGGGCAACAACCGGAGACGGCTTCCAGTCGATTGAACTGGTTCGGTAAACTTTGGGGAGCATTGGAGCTGGGGCGGCTGCTATCCTTGGAGGCCAATTCCAGGGCAGATATCGGTAAATAAATTTTATATATTGAAAATTAATTGGGGCAGGCTTTCATCCTAGCCGTCAGATATGATCCGATATATTATGCAACGTGAGAATTTTTTTTATATTTTCCAATAAAAAGTTCTTTTATTAATTCAACATAATGTAAATTTTGTTTATATACAAACGGTGATGGTCAGTTTATAGTAAAAGAAATTTTTAAATGAGTTTAGAATGTTATTATGTGTCTTTTACTTTTATTTTTTATTTTATCAGTGATATTATACTTTAAATATATTTAGAATGATGTATTGAATAATTATACTATCACTTTAAAAAATATATTAGAAAATAAATGTTTAAAGTATATTTTTATTTGTTTTTAGGTGTTTATCTAATTCGAAAATCTCATTATTGTCATTGACATGTTGACCCTCACTAATTGGTTATGCCCAAATCATAGCATCAATCTCTTAAATACTTAAATTTATATCCCTAAACTTGAATTTCTAAATTATTTCTAATTTACGATGTAGATCTTGTTGATTTTGGGAGACAACATCAATTTTCAATTATATTAAATTTAGACAAAATTATTTCTAAGATAATGGGCACTACAGCATAGTAATCATGTTATTTTTATCTTTTTTTTTCTTAATTATCATTGTTAACAATTTTCATTGTATTAGTATATTGTAAGAGTTTTATTTTGTAGATTTTTATTTTATTTTTCATTTTGTTATGGGGTTGATTTGTAGGTTAATCATCTATATAAATATCACAGTTATAAAATGGAATATAATATTTTTCTCAACTCATTCTCAAATTATCTTTAAATTCTTTCTGTTATTATTTCATCACCACCACCTCATTACAGTATGGTATCAAAGCTTCTATGATCAATAATTTAATGGGAACAATGATCAAATTTGACGATAGCGACATTATTTTGAAAAAGATTAATAATGTTCTTAAATCTTCTATTCGAATTTAATGATGAAATCAACAATTTTATCAAACAATGGAGATTTTGGTAACATATCTCACTCTTCCTCTTGCTCAACATTCAAAACATTTCTCAAATAAGACCATCACCCTTGGATTAGATGAAAAAAATTATTTGTTACTCCGTACTAAAATAATCTCATCACTACAGGGCCAACAAGATTGAAGCTAGTACTTGAAGATTTTAATCACTCCATACTAGAATGTTTTTATCAAAGGAAGAAACTTGGTGACAATCTGATTTGTATCAGAAGAGATCAGGTTTTATATTGTGGAATACTGATTCAAGTATCTCTAACAATTATGTCAAAGAATAATGCTTTATGCCTCTTCATGCTCTTTGCTCTACTTTCTATTTGCTTCTACCTAATAACTTTAAATAATCCATTTTCACAAAAAATAAAATTGCAAAAGTACACCTTTTGCCTCTTCTGTAAATACAGCCACAACCATGCAATCCCTTTTCTTCACTGCAGCGAAGCCTTCACGACGATCAAGTAAGCTGTTACCTTCCGTCGCCTTTCAACACCAACTTGAATGGAAATAGATGATATTCTGAAAATAACTGCCAGTGGTACTAAAGCAATAGAGGCTTGGCAGAGTTTTAGAAGAGTATGTTCAGATAGAGAACGATCCATCCTGCCATGGAGAAAACTGCAAAAATATGAACCCAAAATAGCACGGCAGCTGCCTCCTTTCCACAGCCTCTTAAATTAGCAACAGCACCTATTCATACGAGTAAAAAGCTTAGTTCATATGAGTAAACATAGATTGTACCCAAAGTTGAATTCTTTCAAGAACATCTTACACAGAATAGAGTTCATACCAGAAAGTACAGATGTTGGCATCGAGTGCTGAAGGAGTAGGACAAATCGAAACATCTTGTCACCAACAGGAAGGAAACCAAGCTTGTCAGCCAGCATTACAATCCCGAGTCCTGCTGGAGGCACCAAGATTAGGCGCCCGAAAATAATAGCAGCAAGTGTTCTTACACCAATTCTTGAACTTCCCGGCCCAGGTCCTGCAAATCAAACATGGTAAACCAGAACACGACAAAATTCTTCCCTAAGAACGTTATATGCATGCTTTAATGGTTCGTGGTTAAGACATGTATGTATATTAGTTTTAATGTTTCATGTTCCATTTTTTCTTTATTGATCACAAACTTAATGACTGTCAACTGTAAATGAAGTATACAATGAAAAAATAAGCATGGGGGCTTAAACGTACCATCAACAAGATTGCCTCCTAATGCCAACAAAATGCATGGAATCATGGCTTCCCTGTTAACATGAAACATCATTAACAAATCACAAATTCAAATGCCAAGATACAGACATTAATAAAAAGCATCATTTTAGCTAAAGAACAAGAAGCAAATTATTTCATGAGACAAAGCAAAACATACCCAAGAATAATGCAACTGTCGGTGAAGAAATAAAGTGGAGCATCACTTGTAAATATTAATCTCTTTAGAAATGGAACTGCACCAAGAACCATGGCTAGGATCTGCAGAAAGAGCACAATTGACAATTCATCATGCAAGGAAAAACAATATTTGGTTCACCAAAACAGATATGGAACAAACTAAAAGCACTGAAATATTTATGGTTACAGTGAAAGTAAAACCTGATCCATACTACAGTTCCTTTTTTTCCCATTTAACCTAACGAAAACTTTGTGATGCATCCTTAAACTAGCAGTTTGTCACTACAAATCGGTAATTAATTCATGAAAGAAACCAAAAAAACAATGACTGAAACTTACTGAAGCAATAATAGGGGGTTGAAGAATTTGCTTGAGCTTTAACTTCTCATAAATAAATACTAGAAAATCTTTAATCTGCACAAAAAAATCACAGATATTCAATCAGAAAAAAGTTTATTGCAGAGAACATACTGAACAAATATGCAAATAAATATTATCCTCACCTTTCCCTTAGTATTTGGATTATCTGAATCCGTTGGTACATCCTCTAGCTCAAGCAATGGAGCATACTCAGAAGAGGCATCCATCTGAGGCATCTTACAGGGAAGACTTGCTTCTTCAAGGTCAAAGGTTCCTTCAACAGGAGGAGCGAACATACGAAATACATACGTATATAGAATGATTGCGCCAACCTGGTATATATTGTGGATTAGAACTCATTCATAAAAGCCTATCACATTAAGGACCTAAGGGTACCATGATTCTATGAAAAGCAAAAACCAGAGAAACAGTTTGAAAAGGAATTCAGGGCAACAAATATAAGTCATAACAATCAAAATAAAGAAGTACTGAAGCAACAAGACTAAATCCGCCGCATAAAATCAATTAGTTAAAGTAAACGTACCCACTGTCCAAATGAAATATATGTTGTTCCCTGACTGCTGCACGTGTCCGAGTCACCAAAAGGATTGGATGCATCTCTACATAAAGCTGCAATCAGAACAAGTGGTACATTCCCAATGTTCCCTGCATCAAGCGTCAAATAATTCATCCTATCAGGAATGGTTAACCGATAACATATACAAAAAAGCACATAGCTTTAGCAAATCATACACTAACTGCATACAAATTCAGAACAGTACAAACGAAGAGAAAGAGATTGCCACCGTCAGCAGTGAAAAAGAACACCGACAATGTGTCATATGAACGAATCATATCATCTTTAGCTTACCAATTGCAATTTGTACAATTGAGAACTTGAAGTATGGGTACGGAGGTTTCACCAAGGTTACTACAACCAAACCTATGAGCGAACCAACCAGGGCGCTGAGAATGACATTCACAGGTATGAACCACCTGCAAGTGCAACACAATTGAATTGTAAAGAAGATTAAGATATTGAGCTCAAGTTTGAGCTTTGATAATACAGAGATGCAACAAGGAAGAAAACAGAGCCACGAGTCATACATACCACTCAAGCATTTTCTGTAGAGTAATAGCTTGTCCCAGTTGAGAAAAGATTAAACACGGAAGCAAAAGAGAAAACACCAACTGCAAATTACATGGAATTTCATGGAATGGGGTCAGAAAAAATTCACAAAAAAAGAGTAAAAACAATTACAAAAATCCCATATTTTGAGATCAACCAACAAAAAAAAATACCCCGTTCAAAAGCTTCCGGCCGCTAGCAGGCAAGATATTAACATACTTGGAAGCCATTAGAAAACCCAGAAAACACATTGTGAATACTTTGGCTATCGGCAGCACCGCAATCTTTATGCTTCCTAACAAAGATTCCCCACCTCCGGCGGCCGCCGATAGAAGAAACCTTTCCATCTTCATTTTTCTTCCTTCTTACGAAAAGTATCCCGTTCAGCTCCTCTCTCCCAAACGCTACTCCAATGAATCTAATTCAATTTTTGGGATCTAAAACAGCAATCCGGTGTTATTCTAAATTCAGACTATTGTTTCACCAACAGATGCAACTGCAAATAACAAACAAGCTTCTATCTACCTATTGATCAAATGACTTAAAAAAGAAAAAAGGGCAGATTTGATGATATAGTTGGAATTCGTTTTGGGGTTTGGCTTTTGATTACCCTTCTCTTCCTACCCAGTTCCTCTACTACTGGATCTCTTGTGTTTTTCGCTTGCTTTTATTTATAATTTTTATTTTATAGACTACGTTCCATGATCTGTTGCTTATATTTGTTTAGAGTAAGTTACGGATTTAGCCTTATTAGTATTTGATTATGTTTCGTCTTTTATTTTAGATTACTAAACCACCCTTAATTGAGTCTGTTTTGGACTCTTGTGTTGTTTTTTCACTTCAATTATCTTTGTTATTTTCTTTAAAAAAAACATTTTTTAGGGTAAACAACGTAATCAGTCACTCATCTATTTTTGTGCTTTTATTTTAGTTATCTAACTAATTCTTTTAAATCATACCTAATTTTAAATTTTTTGTTCCGTTTTGGTCATGTACCATTAAAAAATAAACAAAACTATTGTCGTTGTAATTTTATTAATTTTTTCATTTTAATGATGACATGGTATTAGCTTATAATAATATATCACATAAAATAACCTCAGTGACTGGAAATGCCTTATAATATAAGATTTTAACTAACTTTTTTTGGATTTGCCAAAATGACCAACAAATTCACAACGCGAACTCCAATTTCGCAACCCAGTTTCCAATTTCGCAACGCGAATATGTAAATCGCATTGCGATTTTCCAAATTCGAAACGCGAATCTGTAAATCGCAACACATAAGTCAAATTCGCAACGCGATAGTCAAATTCGCAACACAAAAGTCAAATTTCGCAACGCGGAATTTCAAATTCGCAACTGAATTTGAAATTCACAACTGAATTTCAAATTCGCAACTAGATTTTCGAATTCGCAACACGAATTTAATTTCACAACAGGTTTTAGTTTCGCAACACAAATGTTTTGGGTATATAACAAAGCAGCATCAACTCATAACCTAAATCCCTAAATCACAACTCATTTCATCTCCATCTATCACTCTCTCCGTCGACATCCGTTCATATATCCAACGACATCCTTCCCCATCTCTAATTTTTTTTACATAATTTTATTTCTATATAATTTTTCAATGATTTCACTCCCAAATTATCAACTATCAACTTAATAAATGGCATACTCGGACAACATCAATGTCATCCATCCGAGTAAAACCATTTTTAACAAATAATCTCTTCAAGTCGTCGACGTGTAAACTCGGCATCGACTTTGCCAGCTCAGGAAAAACCCGAGATAACCATGATGGGCGGGAGATATGACTAGTGTATCGGGTTACTTCATCGTGTCTGAAGCGTAGACCAGTGATTAAGCAAAACTCCTCCCGCCCAAAACAAGTATATGCCGGTGCCGAAGGAAAATGAAACCATATCTCTTCATCACCACGTTGTATCCTCCCGGGTAGATCGTTAGTCATGGTCTGAAGAAACAAATATGTCAACATAGCATCTCCACCCGTATGTTGTACTTTCAGCCATGGCCCGAAGCAAGTATCCTCAAACAATTTTCTTTGTAGAGGTGTAAGCGTCGATGCAATTTTAGTGGCTAGGCTTAATTTATTCTTTAAGGTCAATGCAGCCGAAAAAAATTTCTACAAAAACAATAAACATACCAAGTTAGATATACCAAAAACTACAAATTATACACTATAAACAGACATGATATTAAACAGTGAAAACAAAGCCAAATATGTTTCAAACTAGCACGGTATTCACATGTTGTCATTATTCCATCATAGTTCACAATATGGTTCAAGGACAACATAAAGAGTAGTAGTTTATTCTTGAAACTTAAATTAGCAACACTGTGAAGTTAGTATTTGTCTTTGTTTTGTATTTTGTTGAAGTAATGCAATTCATTCAAGTTTCAATTTGCAGAATAAGAGTAGTTTCTGAAACTTAAATTCGCAACGCGAAACTAAAATCGCGTTGCGATTTTGGTGTTGCGATTTTCATTTTCGTGTTGCGAATTTAAGTTTCAAAAACTATTCTTCTGTAAATTGAAACTCGAATGAATTGCATTTCTTCAACAAAAAAACAAAACAAAGACAAATACTAACTTCACAGGGTTAAAGACTAAACATTTTAGCAGTATTGGTAACAACCGAATGAATTTACTAAGCAATCTCAGTGAAATGGTTAATCTTTATATATATTGAAATTACCAGTAAATTTATCATCAATATAAGAAAAATCTAATAATAATACAAAAATTTCAAAATAAAAATAAGAGATTAAAAAACTAACCATCGGTGGTTGATTTTCCAGTTCTGACCGTGAATGGTTGTGAGGATTGCTTTGAGAGATGGAGATAGACGGATTTCGCCGGAGATGATTACGGATTTCGCCGGAGAGAGTGAGAGATGGAGATGGGACTGAGTTGTGATTTAGGTTATGATTTGTGATAATATTGTTTACATTTGTGTTGCGAAATTAATATTGTGTTTCGCGTTGCGAATTTGAAATTCAGTGTTGCGAATTTGACTATCGCTTTGTGAATTTGACTATCGCGTTGCGGATTTGACTATCGCGTTGCGGATTTGACTATCGCGTTGCGAATTTGACTTCTGTGTTGCGAAATTGAAAATTTGGTTGCGAAATTGGAGTTCGTGTTGCGAATTTGTTGGTCATTTTGGCAAATCCAAAAAAAGTTAGTTAAAATCGTATATTATAAGGCATTTTCGGTCACTATGTTATTTTCTCTAATATATCATCATATCATTTGTTTTTTTAGTGATGGATGATAAGACAAAATCAAAACTTAATATTATATATAATTTTAAAAAAATAATTAAGTGATCAAAACGAAACTATGAAAATATATGAGATCTAAATACGTAATTTACACATGTTTTATTTTGCTTTTGGTTGATTTATTGTTTTTATACTAACAACGGAGAACATGCGAACTGTCAACAATGACCAAATTAAGTAAAGCCATTCTCTTCCCTCCCGTTGTTGTTAAATTTAATTATAATTAGAAATCGGAAAAAATTAATTCTAATTAGAAATCGGAAAAAAATAATTCTAATTAGAAATGATTCCTTGACTATGACCGAGTATTGGTTATAGATTACGTAACTATCTAACATACGTTGTTTTCAGTTTGATATTCATACAATGCATGACATGGATTTAGTTTAACCTAATTATTATTTTTTTTAAAATTAAATAAATTCATGTATGGTGATTATTTTACTTTTGAGAAATAAATATTGGGATTTTTAATACAAAAATTTAGTACATATTTCTAATTTTTAAATTAATATATGAATTTGTTTATATGGAACAAAATTTATTTGTATAAATTCGGTTTATAAAGAATCATACAATTTTAGTTTATATGGTGTTCGCATTAGAGTTTATGTGGGCAGTCATCGCGACAAAAAATTGTTTATTATTATTAGGGTAAAGTACACAAATGGTACCCCGGTTACAGGGCATTCCTTTGTTGAGTCTCCAACTATTAATAGTTATAAAATGGTTACTTGACTATAGGATATTGCTTTGTTGAGTCCCCCAGCTATTAAAAGTTATAAAATGGTCACTCGACTATTCATATGTTATAAATTCGTCCTTTTATGTTAAAATATTGATGGCAATCTAAACTTAACGTTAACATTTGATTGTGATATAATAAAATTTGATCCTAAAATCTCAAACGATTATCATATCTCAGTTAACAAGTTAACGTTCAACTCATACTATTATCATTTCTTAAGGAAAATGATGAGTTTAGAATGAATGAATAGTTGAGTTATCATTTTGTAACTTTTAATAGTTTAGGGACTCAATAAAGCAACGTCCAATAGTCAGCATATCATTTTTCTAACTTTTAATAGTCATGAGACTCGATAAAGCAAGACTTATAGCCATGGGATCATTTGTGTACTTTACCCTTATTATTATCATTATAAAATTAAAATTATTATATAGAAACAGTTCGTGCATCACACGAATTAAAAAAAAAATATTAATAATATATACAATAATCTAATTTAGTATTTTACAATCTACTTGAACTTTGAGTTTGACTGTGATACTAATTTATTATTCTTTATTTTTTACAATTTAGATAAGATTTTAGAAATTATCTAAAAATAATTAATTTTAATTTTATCTTTTTGATAAAATTTTAAAATACTTTAAATTTAGGTGTCGTTTGATAATTAGAAAATTTAAGTGTTGAAAAATTAAATACCAAAAAAAATGTTGAATTTAAATTATAAATTTATGTGAATTTAATTTAAAATTAAACAGTGGATAAAACTAAACTGATTGATAAAAGTACTTTTTAAAGAATAAATAATTAAAAGAAATACAAATAAAATAAAAGGTGTTGAAAATATTTTTTTATTACATGATAATAACTCCTTATCTACCTACTATTTTTCATACTCTTTATTAAAAAAATCTAATAAATAATCTTAATTTCAAATTATCAAACATATTAAGATATTGAATCACATCAATTATTAATTTTTAAAGAATTAAAACTTTTTAAGCGAATTAACAAATCAATCCTTAATATATATATATACACACATATACACACAAAATTTTAAAATTCAAACTATAAATATTTTTATTAAATAAAAAAGTATTATATATTTAAAATAAATGTCAAGATTTTTTTTTGAACAAAAAAGAACAAAATTTGTTCAAAAGAAAAAAAAGAATCTTGACATTTATTTTAAAAATATGATACTTTTATTTAAAAAAAAAAGATTCAAACTCACACAATATGGAACAACATGAACACCCTTAACCACTATGCTAATTAATGAATCTTCAAACTATAAAAATCTGGGTAAATAGTAAACTACACGTTTAGTACTCAATTATCACTTTTATTTCATTCGGTAACTCAACTATTCTTTTAAAAAAATCATACATAATATTTAGTTTTGGTTTCATTTGATTACCCGTTGTTAAAAAACTAATGGTAACGTTGACGTGTCACCATAAGATAATGTCACGTCAATATTAAAAATAAAAAAATATAATATCAGTGGTTTTGTTGATTCTTTAACGGTCTGTGACCAAAATAAAATAAAAACTTAACTTCAGATATGATTTCGAAGAAAAATAATTG